GTTTAAACTCTGACAGTTAACATTTTTCCAACGAAGATGAATCCAGTTTTTCACTACCTAGGAATCTGCTAAAGATTCTAGCAGTCCGCCGGGCGCGGTGGCTCACGCCTGTAATCCCAGCACTTTGGGAGGCCGAGGCGGGCGGATCACGAGGTCAGGAGATCGAGACCATCCTGGCTAACACGGTGAAACCCCGTCTCTACTAAAAATGCAAAAAATTAGCCGGGCGAGGCGGCGGGCGCCTGTAGTCCCAGCTACTCGGGAGGCTGAGGCAGGAGAATGGCGTGAACCCAGGAGGCGGAGCTTGCAGTGAGCCGAGATCGCGCCACTGCACTCCAGCCTGGGCGACTAAGCGAGACTCTGTCTCAAAAAAAAAAAAAAAAAAAAAAAAAAGATTCTAGCAGTCCAAGCAGCTGTGGATGCTCTCCTAATAATGTAAATGACCAGAAGTCCAGGCCCCAGTCAATAACCAACCCAGTAGCAATGAGCACCCTAGCACTCAGATTTGTGGTCTCTAAATACCAATTCCCACTAAAAGGAACTGCAGCTTCCTTGAGAAATGGCTGATGCAAGTTTCGAGGTAGGAAATCTGTAAGTTGGAACTTCCCAGAAAAGCAAGGAAGTTATAAAAAATTCTGGGTTTATGAAGGAAGGGGAACATCACACACCAGGGCCTGTCGTGGGGTGGGGGGAGCAGGGAGGGATAGCATTAGGAGATATACCTAATGTAAATGACGAGTTAATGGGTACAGCACACCAACATGGCACATGTATACATATATAACAAACCTGCACGTTGTGCACATGTACCGTAAAACTTAAAGTATGATAAAAAATAAATTAAAAAAAAAAAGAAAGTATTGAAAAAAAAAACCTTCTGGGTTTATGTAAAGAGACTCAGGAGCCAATAGGCTCCTACTGGACAAAGACAGGTGAGTTGAGCATCAGTAACAGTCTTAACTTTAGTGCATTGCAACACATCAGATATGGTTAAATGTAGGAGTTTATAATGATACTTTAAAGAGAGAAATCTAGTCCCTAATTGCTTGATCTTCTCTCTGGTAATTATTAGGGAAATTAAGAGTCACCGTTACAAGAAGCCACAGAGAAACAGGCGTCACCCAGAAGGGCAGTGTATCCCATGCCCATAGCTGTGCCCTGCCCATGGCCCATTAAACAGCAGCCATGAGACCCTTTCCTGTGGCACGTGTGTTGCACGTGTGTATGCTCTTCACCAGCGGGGTAGCTGCAGTCCTACTGCGTCTCTTCTTACTGTGCTGGAAGGTTTAACATTTGGGATTTAATTCTTGTTTTATCTCTAAATTTTTCCATTATACACACATGCTTCTTGACGTACAATGGTGTATGTCCCAATAAACTCATTGTAGGTTGTAGATATTCTAAGTAGAAAATGCATTCAATATACCTACCCTACTGCACATCATAGCTTAGCCTAGTCTACCTTAAATGTGCTTAGAACATTTACATTAGCCTACAGTTGGGCAAAATCATCTAACACAAAGTCTGTTTTGTAACCAAGTGTTGAATGTCTGATGTGACGTATGGAATACGGTACACGATGTAGTGCCGGTTGTTTACCCTTGTGATCGTGTGGCTCACTGGGCGCTACAGGTCACTGCTGCTGCCCAGCCTCAGTACAGAGTGTCGTACTACACATCGCTAGCCCGGGAAAAGATCAAATCTCAAAATTTGAAGTGTGGTTTCTGTGGAGCGCAGATTCCTTTCACACCATCATAAAGTCGGCAAATTGTAAGTCGAACCATTTTAAGTCAGGGATCTTCTATACAGGTAATGCATGCTTGTTGATTAAAACCTTAAATACAGAAGAATACAGAATATGCCTTGTTCCCCATCCTTATTTTTAGTTGCAAAATGGAGAGGTTTCAATTATTTTTTCAAGGTCACTGCTGGTTAGCTGTGGATCAGAGGCTTGAACTAAGATACTGACTCAAGAAACATACCTCTTTTTCAAGTGGCTCAAGTCATCCTTCTTCCATTTTTCTTCAGATAATCATGATGTCATTTCCCTGAAGCTGTTTGAGCTGACGGTGGAGAGAACCCCAGAAGAGGAAAAGCTGCATCGAGACGTGTTCTTGCCCTCCGTGGACAACATGAAGCTGCCCGAGAGTGAGCACGGGGCCCCCAGGGAACGGCCCATAGCTGGGGAGGAGCTTGCAGTGCTGCACGGCTTCGGAGGGGACTTGCACCCGTAGCTCACAGGGCGGTCTCTGCTCTGTGTATTCCTCTGAGGGGTAGGAGCACGTGCATCTGCTTTTCCCCTTCAAGTTACAGATGAGCAGCTGGAGGGCCGCTTTGTTTCTCAGTTGGAAAGCGGGGGTCTAAGCTCGGGCTTCCCAGAAACAGATGTCAGAAATGGGGGGCCGCACAGCCTGTAGTTTGATCTTTCCCTACTGGGTGGGCTCCCTGTTTTCTGACTTGCTTCTCTCTTGCTTCCTTAGTGACAGCTCCACTGCCGCCCCTGAGTGGCCTGGCCCTCTTCCTCATCGTCTTTTTCTCCCTGGTGTTTTCTGTATTTGCCATAGTCATTGGTATCATACTCTACAACAAATGGCAGGAACAGAGCCGAAAGCGCTTCTACTGAGCCCTCCTGCTGCCACTTCTGTGACTGTCACCCGTGAGGTATGGAGGGAGCAGACACTGGCCTGAGCGTGCAGCCTGGAGGGCCTTCTCGTCTCTAGCAGCTGGTTAGGGACTATATTCTGTCACTGGAGTTTTGAATGCAGGGACCCCGCATTCCCATGGTTGTGCATGGGGACATCTAACTCTGGTCTGGGAAGCACCCACCCCAGGCAATGCTGCTGTGATGTGCCTTTCCCTGCAGTCCTTCCACGTGGGAGCAGAGGCGTGAAGAGAATGCATGCGGTTGTGATGCCAAAATCACAGAACGGAATTTCGTAGCCCAGGCCGCCTTGTTGTTTGACTCAGAGAGCCCTTCTACTTCATTTTTGAATCCACAGAGAATCAAAAGCTGGTAGCACCACATACTTTCTGACCATCCATTCATTGGGTTTTGCATCTTACCCAACCCTCTGCCTACCTGAGGAGCTTTCTTTGGAAACCAGGACGGACACTTCTTCCCTGCCCCACCTTCCTTTCACTCCATTCGTTGTCCTCTCTCTGTGCTACCTGAGCCGCGAAGGCATTTGGATGCCTCTCTGTTGGGGCCTGGGGCTGCAGAACGCACCTGCGTTTCACGGGCTTCATTAGCGGCCCGAGGGAGAGGGCTTTCTGCTTTGGATCCCTGTTCCAGCTCCTGTTCTCTAGCACGGGCCCTGGGTCTATCGACTTCCCCCATCAAGTCTCTTCAGGCCCTCAGTCAAGTTTGACTAAAAGTTGGTGTAAAAATCCAGAGAAGCCTGGAAGACATCATAGATGCCGTGGATTAACTGTGAAACTGACCAACTCCAGGTTTGATACCAAAAGCAGTATTTGTCATGTGGTCTGACCATGTGGAGAGATTTCTGGACTTGCTAGAGCCTGCTTAGCTGCATGTTTTGTAGTTACGATTTTTGGAATCCCACTTTGAGTGTTGAAAGTGTAAGGAAGCTTTCTTCTTATATCTTGGGCTTGGATACTGCCCAGAGAAGAAATTTGGCTTTTTTTTTTTCTTAATGGACAAGAAACACTTGCTGTTCTCATGTTCCAACTCTGAGAGCAAGAGACCCTCATCATCTGTGCCTGGAAGAGTTCATTGTCACTGAGCAGCACAGCCTGAGCGCTGTCCTCTGCGTGTCAACCTGTATTCCACTGCCTTATCTGACAAGGGGTCACATGCTGCTCACCTTACTGCCCTGGGATTACATCAGTTACAGGCCAGAGTCTCCTTGGAGGGCCTGGAACTCAGTCCTCCTATGAACCTCTGTAGCCTAAGTGAAATTCTTAAAATCGCCGATGGAACCAAACATGAGCTTCTGACTATGTTCTTTCTTCTAGGAGTGGGTCTGGGGAACGGTCAGGCCTTTATTCTGAGCAGGCCTTTTTTCTGAGCTTCAAGCCCATCAACCATTGTTTTGCCTTCTCCTGGGTTGGAAAAGCCCTCAGCTCAGCTCAGAAGGAAAGGGGGTCACCTTGGCTAGGCACAGGTCTCTGTCTCTTCAGGCTCTTTCCTTCGCATGCACTTAGTTAAGCAGCACAGGCGGGAGTGCTCTCCTGCAGGTGGGATTCAGGTGAGGCAGAGACGAGGCATCCTCCTCCCACCTCCCCTCCACAATAGCAGAATGGCTCCAGGGTGCCAGAGGACAACTGTGACCTAGAGCTTGGCCTTGGAACAGGGAGAACTGCAAAAGAAAGTGGTGGTTTTGTCTTTTTTGAGTTGCAGGGGAGATTGTATGGACCCATGGGAGGACCTAGGTAGGCTCTTGATACGGCCAAGGCAGCAGTGCAGGCGGAAGGGGTCTCATCAGAGGGGAGGGGTGGAGTGAGAAAGATGGCGCCTGTGGGGTTTGCATGATTCCAGCTCATGAGTACCTTAAGGCTTTTTAAAGAGGTCAGGGAGGACATGAAATGCAGTCCCCACCTGCCTCGGGGGCCTTTAGAGAAATGTATGGTGCAGGAAAACCACCTGACCTGGCATCGGATGTCCTGCTTTCGCTCTTGCTTTTTGTTCTAGAAACACATGTTTCCCATCATGAATGGGCAGAATGTTGTCCTGGGCAGTGTCATCCTAGCTGTGTGCTGGAGGGAGCTGCCTGGTCCGTGGTAGGGCTGTTGTGTACATGCTGTGGGTGAGAGCCAGTGCCTCGGCTTGCTGCTTACCCGTAAGGGCCACTTCTCACAATCACCCTTTCCCTCCATACGAAGAGGCTGCGATTCCAAGCCTCTTGTATGAGAGACCCTGTGGACTAGGGGTGGGACATAAAGGTGACGTCACTCCCTGTCCCCGTGAGTCTTGTCGGAAGGGCTGGCATTTTCAGCCTTTCATGTTGTCTTCAGCATCCCCAAATTACAAGATGGCTCTCTGTTACAGAACTTGTTTATTTCAGTGGAAAATTATAGCTCTGCTCTTCTTGTTGGAAGTGATTTCTGAACACAATAGCCAGAATATTCCTAGCACCTTGCATCTATCCTAGAAGACAGAAACAAAGAACTGGTAGGCGGCCCAAGGGGAGGGCTGTTGGTAGAGGAGGAAAGCCGGGCAGCGTGGGCTAATTAGTCTTCTGGGGCTGGAAGTTCTGGGAAAATGTTACTCAGGTGATTGGTAGGTCCTGGGTGGAGTTTCCACTCATGGTCTATTGTAGGCTTTAGGTTTGGATCCTGGGTGGGAAGGATGGAAGAGCTGGCATTGCTGGTGTTTAGTGAAGTGATGATATTGAATATTTTAATGGGAGGATATAGCTGAAGTTGAGGTTTGATCCAGCTCATGGCCAAATAGTGCTAGAGAGAACAGACAACAGTTAGCCTGGGGTGGGGAGCTGAAGACGCTCTCCCCAGAGTCATCCTGAGACCACCTCTGTCCTTGCCTGCAGGGCTGCCACTCACCGGAGCTGAATAGATAAAGTTGAACAGCAAAAGTGCTAGAATCGATATGACCATAAAGGCGATGAGTTTGAAGCGATAGCGTTTCCAGAAAACAGAGCAGAAGTGTTGAGCTGGTGACCGCAACCACATGAAAGAGGTGTAGGGGCGTCTGTCCAGGAGCCAGGGAAATGGCAGAGAATGGCAGAGAGAACCTTCAGGTCAAGCAATCTGATGCAAAGAGCTTTCTTTTTAAAAAAAAAGCAACTTCTGGGCTAGGCGCAGTGGCTCACGCCTGTAATCCCAACAGTTTGGGAGGCCGAGGTGAGTGGATCACCTGAGGTCAGGAGTTTGAGACCAGCCTGGCTAACATGGTGAAACCCCGTCTACTAAAAATACAAAAATTAGCCGGGCATGGTGGCAGGCCCCTATAATCCCAGCTACTCAGGAGGCTGAGGCAGGAGAATCGCTTGAACCCAGGAGGCAGAGATTGCAGTGAGCAGAGACTGTGCCACCACACTCCAGCCTGGGTGACAGAGTGAGACAATTATCTCAAAAAAAAAAAAAAAAAAAACCAATTTCTGCTTACCCCAACTCTCACCCCAAGTCTGTTCTTTGCTGATTGAGCACAGAGCTGCGGGGTGGGAGGTAGTTACCACCTCTCCACGGTAGGCCCACTGGTCACCACCCCACACACACGGAGGAGCAAGACGGATCTGGTGCTTTTGCCCCAAGGACCCTTACAGGGGAGGGTGAAGTGTAGGGTACTGGTTGGGTTCTGACTGGCCTCGCCCGGCTGGCTTGATTAAGGCTTCCTTCTCTGACAGAATCTCCAGGCTCATCTTCACCTTGCCCTAGGAACACCATGGTGAGGGGGAGGCTGAGTTCAGACAGCCGAGCCGGGTAGTTTTAGGGCCTCTTCCCGGGATCAAGAAAGGAAAAGGGATTTAGCTAGGTCCCTAGATGTCTGCTAGAGCCAGGACATGCGGCACAGCAGTCCTAACCAGTAGACACTTTCCCCAGCTCCTACCGACAAGCGCCATTTGCCACCATCGAGGACCTGGCAAGGCCACCAGCCAGTCACAGTCTTCTTCTTAAAGAGGGAGAAGTGCTTGTATTGGAGGAAATAGGGCCACTTGGGGTCAGCGTCCATCATCCTGATGGAGCACTGCTGGGCGTGCCGAGCCGGGAGGGGCATGTCAGACAAATCCAACTCCAGGACCCCTGAGCCCAGAAAAATGACATCAGCAAGAAGGAGCTCTCTGTCCTGTGGTCACAAGCCCTGTGTCAGGACCTCACCTAGGAAGTCGTCGGGGGAGAAGATGTCATTGTCCCAGACCTGGATGATAAGTCGGGCTGGGAACTTCATGGACGTGGCATCCAGGCTCCATATGTAATCCTGGGGCAATGGCGGAAGAGCACGTTGCCGGCCTGTCTCCTGGACGTTTCCCTTGCACCCCTCAGTGGCCCTCCACCCAGCAGTGACAGACTATCAGGGGAGAGGGTTTCCACCTGAGGACATGTTTCTGATGTTCTGGGACAGATGGCGAGCCTCTGGAGGGGTGAGGGGAGGAGCACCAGGAGCCTGAGTCTGTTCGTGTGTGGCCTTTCGTCCCCCCGTGCCCCCACGCCCCAGCCTGTTACCTTCTGGCTCTGGACACACACGCGCTCCGCCGCCAGGTAGTCCATGGTAAAGATGAACCGCCAGTTGAAGTTCGCCTCCCCAGTCAGCGAGTGGTAGTGGATATCTGTCTTCTGCATGTCCTTCTCCAGCCCATACAGCCACCTGGGGCCAGAGTCCTGTCACCTGCGGCTCAGGTGCACTGTCCCCATCCCCCGCTGCAGCCCGTGGGAAGGGCGGCCCAGCCGACACCAGGCCCAGCCGGAAGTGGAGAGGTGTCCCATTCAGGACTGGGCCGTGTCAGCAGGATGACAGAACTGGGGAACTGAGGGGCTCGCCGGAGCCTGACTCCTCTTCCTTACCCTTTGATGTAGATGTCGCTCGTCTTCTCTCTACTTAAATTGTCATCCACCAGGTCCACGTTGGCGGTTTTCCAGATGACGCAGCGCAGCTCATACCTGTGGCCACTGCGCTCTGAGGCTTTGCCAAGGAGGAGCTCCCCAGCCGCAGCCTCGGTGCGGGCGGAGAGGCCTGCGAGGCCGCCCTGTGTGCTCTTGCTCAGTGTGGGGAATTCAGGGCAAGAGAGCTCCCAGGAGAGCTTCCTCCCTTCCCGGCAGAGAAACAAACGACTGCAGCTCAGTACCTGAGGAGAGTGGTGCCTGCACTGGGGGGAGGCTGAACTGTGAAATGCAGCGATTGGGAAGTGGGCTGTCACTCACCGTTTAGGCTTTCTGGGGTTGATGTTGACTGGGGGGCCAGGAGGCCCCAGCTTCTTGGGGAAGATGTCCACCCACATTTGCACCTTTCCCTAGAGCCGGGATACATTGGCTGGTTGGGGGTTGCTAGCCTCTGTTCTCAGCAGGCTGGCCTGGGGTTCCCTGTCCCAGGTTCTGAGGTCTGTTGAGGTTGTGTTCCCAACACCAAGGGGTGGGGCACAGAGATATCTGTGAGGCCGCAGGCGACCACCCACCAGCTTCCCCCTTTCTTTCGACGGAGAGAGTAGCGCAGTGAGATTGGAACACGGTAACTTTGGGGCTGACGGCATGGTGCTGGGATTCCACTTACAACAGGTCTGGAGGGGGAATGCCACTCCCTCGGTCATGCTAGATGGCCTGTCTGGACTGGGCTCCAGATCGGGGTTGGGGCTTCATTTACCAAGCAGCTTGGTGTTGCTTGATAGCCTCGAGTATGGGGAAACCAGTCCAGACTTTCAGGTCATTTTGTGTTACGAACTACAACCTAAGGGTATTAAGCTAGCCACACATACAGAGGAACGAAGGTAAGGGATGAAAAGCGGGAGAAAAGGAAAGAAAAAGGACAGAACTGCTAACATTGAAAACACACAAATACGTTCTGCCTTTCAGACTACCTGACCTAATTATATTCTTTTGAAGTGACCCATTTGAGAAAACAGGTTTAACGAGAATGGTTTTTTATTTTATGTTTTTTGAGACAGTTTCCCTCTGTCACCCGGGCTGTAGCGCAGTGGCACAATCTCAGCTCACTGCAGCCTCTGCCTCTCAGGCTCAAGCGATTCTCATGCCTCAGCCTCCTGAGTAGCTGGGACTACAGGCACCTGCCACCACGCCCAGCTAATTTTTATATTTTCAGTAAAGAGGTTTTGACATGTTGGCCAGGCTGGTCTCAAACTCCTGGCCTCAAGAGATCTGCCCGCCTTGGCCTCCTACAGGCTGGGATTACAGGCGTGAGCCACCGCACCCGGCCAGAGAATGGTTTTTTAAACATTTTGCTCAGAGAGGACTTTCTGTCTGGAATGTGGTAGAGCTTGAGAAGTTTAGAGAATGAGATGAGCCATTATGGTGGCTGCAGAGTGAATGATGATTAGGTGCCTTTGGGGATTTGTATTTCTCTGTTTGGGGTTCTTTGCTGTGGAGAAGACACAGCCTGCAATTAACAGCCAGAACCAGCGTTGTCACGTCTGCACTGTCTGACCTGAGCGCCACCTTCCCACCCCTCGGGAGAGACTTAAGGCAACGGAGACGTTGACTGGCTCCCTAGTGCCTCCCACAGCTGGTGCATGGCCTCTGTTTCTTGTAGATGACCTTTCCAGCTCTGAAATTCTCCATTCTAAGTGACATCACCAGAACTTCTTGCTTATTAACGTGCACAGCATGCTTGTCTTCCGTGCATGTGCGTTACTGAATGTTTGGCCTGCCCTTCCCCTCTCGTGGGCTACGTCCTGGGTGGACGGGCATCTCTGTCTCCTGATCTAGCTCCTCCCATAGGAGCAGGAGTGGCCCCTCCAGTCTCATACCTGGTCGATGCCTGGCTGGCTGTCACTGTACAGTGTGCGGGTCTCCACGTGCTCAGGCACCAGCCCCTGGGTGTGCAGGAGGTGGAGTGCAAGGCGTTCCTTCTTGGGCCCCAAACCGTGAACAGTAGGGGTTTTGGGTTCTGGATTGGAGAGGGATGGAAGGAGGGGGATGTGAGGTCATTAGCCTTCCTATCACCCTCCCCACCACAGCCTGGGTAGGAGTGAGGGGAGAGGGGTGGGCTGGCCTCTGGCTCCAGGGAGCTCTTTCCTTGTCCTCCCCTTTCTCCCCCGAGTCTGTAGCTCTTCCATTCGGGAGCCTCACAGCTCCCAGAGGCCTGTGTCTGTGCTTTCTGCTGGTGTTCTGCGCTGCTCACCAAAGCTTTGCAGCTTGAATTTTTTCCCGTTATAGAAAACAGCATCTTCCTCAGGACTGAACAGAGGCGGAGGCAGCCCTTTGCGCTTGGCATAGCGTTCTAGGAGGTAGCTTGGGGGCATCTGATCCCGCCATCTAAAGGGTCCTGACCTGGGGGATGTGAGAGGAAGAGGTCTGGAGGTTCGGGTCCTGAAGAACACCGTTGTGAGCTGCAGGTTGACCATGGGTGGAAGCTTGGGTGGAGACTGGGCAGGTCTGGGCCCAGTTTCCTGCCCAGGATGCAGGCTTCTCCCAAGGGAGCTGTGGGCTCACTCTTCCACCCCACCTGACTCCCTTCCCCTGGACAGGCCCACGCTCACTGGCAGTAGGATTTGGAGAGCCCACAGTGAGCTCCAAAGCCAGAGAGGAGTCGGTTTTCAAGGTCGATGACTGTGGTTCCTATCTTATCATCAGGTGAAAATAGGTCGAAGTCATAGAGCTGGATCTCTAGGTCCTTCTCCAGGGGGATGTTGCAGGTGAGCTCAAACATCCTAGGGGCGAGGTGTTGAAGGCGGCAGAGGATGTGGGCAGTGTCTCTGTGCCCCCCTCCCTGACCGGTGTCTTGGCCCCGCAGGCCCCTTGTTTCATGGAGATTGTGGAGAGCAGAGCATGGGGTAAGCTGCCTTCTGCCAATCGCCATCCCCTGGTTATGGTTGAAAATGACTTTGGATAGGCCTGGTGTGGGGATCTCAGCTCCCCTCCCAGCCAGAGTGCCAAACGGTAGTACCGGCCCACCCATGCATTTGTCTTCTCTCTGTTGAGCACCAGGGCGTGTAAGACGCTGTGGTAGGAACGTGGAGGCCAGCCAGGAGTGCCAGCGTTCTGTGCCTTCTCCGGCTGACTTCCGGTGTGGAGGGGGTGGGAGTGGAGAAGGGGTCTTGGGGGTTGGGGCAGCTCACGTGCCGAAGATGGGATCCAGAGTGTTGGGCTGGTACATGTCCCGGCTGCCAAGCTCTGTCTTGCCCAGTTTCAGGATCACGTAAGGGTCACACTGGGGTCAGATACAAGTGGGGGAGGGATCGGAACTGGGGAGGGTGTCCAGGTGTGTCAGGGAGGGTGGGAGGGGGTGGAAACAAGCCCCTTGCACCACATGGCGCCTGCGGGGCGCTGGCGTTGTGTGTGTCGGTAGTTGGAGGGGCTCCCAGAGACGGGGTGAGGGGAGCGTGGGGGGCACCTGTGCGGGGCAGGTGCTGTTCTTTACCAGGCCGTTGTAGTCCTGGGGCTGCAGGTTGATGGCTCGTACCACGTACACCCGCACCAGGCATGGCTGGGGGAAGTCCTCTCTCTCTGGCCAAGCCAAGAACTGGAGCGGGGGCTTCGGGGCGTCTGGATTCTCAGGAAAGGGGTAGACACGGAAGAGGCCCTGGCGGGGGAGGGGTGTTGGGGTCCCAGCCTGGCAGTGCTGGGCGGCGCTGTAAAGCCCTCCGGGAGGCGCCCCAGCCCGTGTTCAGGAGAGAGAGGGTTGGGCTGAGGGTGGCAGGAACAGAAGGCCATGAGGACAGTGGAGGCAGGTACAGCACGGTGTCCAGCAGGGCCCACTATGTTGAATCAGGGTGTCGGCAAAGGACCTGCAGTCAGCAGGTGAGTTCCCCGTCTGTGCCGCTGTGGACTCACTCCACCCCATCTATCCCTTCACGTTCGGGCTTGTTCCCTGTGGCTTTGCGGCCTTGGGAGGCCAGCATAGGCCAGAGCGGGGAGGGGCAGGGGAGCGCTCCCTGAGTCCCTGTGGGGGCGAATCTCCTCCACTGCCACAACTTTCTCAAGCCCTGCTCCATCTTCACGATGAGCATAGAGAGCCGAGGCTTTTATTTGTCTTCCGGGGACACAAGGGGCACAAGGAGACGGGGGCAGCTAAGCTGGGGTGGACACACACCTTGAACTCCCCTACCACGGGGCTGTCCAACTTGGGCTGCTCCTGGTAGAGCTTGAAGGTCTGGCAGAAGTCCTGCAGGCCCTGGAAGGCTGGCACGGCCTCCAGCTCACAGTCGTACACCTGCAGGGGTGTGTGGAACCCTGGCTGTCAGGGACTGTTCCCGAGATCAGGAGATGGAGGGACCACCAGCTCCCAGGCCTCGCTCCAAAGCCTCTGGCAGGCAGTGGCCCTGGGGCCAGCACTGTGTGCTTCAGACGGTGGCAGCTGGAGCTGTCTCTGGGAGACAGTGCGGGAACCCCCCCGACTGGAGGCTACCCAGAGGAATCGAGGCTATAGCTCTGCTGGCCTCCTGCAGTGGGCGATTTGATTCCATCCCCCTTTCTTCCCTCCTTCAAACCTTGAGGGTGTGGTAGTCTTTGTACTTGTACTTCAGGGACTTGTGCTCATCTGTGGCCCAGAACAGCTTGCTCCACCAGTCCACCTCGTGCTCATACTCATCCTGGTGGAGAAGAGGATCGTTCTGGCCTTGGGCGGGGGCAGCCCCTGACCTCCCTGCACTGAACGGGGCTGCTCCTCGTTCCCTGGGGCTGAGCCTTCATCACCTCTGCTTTACTGGACTTGAACCAGAACTTTCTGGAGAGGTAGCCTAGGAACTGAAAAAGGAGGGGGTGAGCAAGGGAAAGCCATCGCTCGCTCACGGGCTCTGACTTCAGGGAGGAGAGAGGGTGTCAAGGCCAGGGTTCCCCTGGCGCCCTTGCCCTTGCCTTTCACATAGACCTTTTAATTCAGGGGTCTTTAGAAATGGGATCTAGGGAGCAAGAAGAAGGGGACACATAGTTCTTTGTCCTCATTGCCCATAGCTGCAGACTAGATTCTCGAAGGCGCTCAGAAATGCAGAACCTCAAGCCCCACCCTGACCTACTGAGAGTCTGCTTTTGGTGACAGTGTCTGGAGGATTCCTGCACATTCAAGTTTGACAAGTACCACTTTAGAGCAATAGTTGGGAACCCTGAAAGCACATTGGAATCACCTGTGTGGAAGGGGTTGGAAAAAATTTTGATGCCTGGGTCCTACCTCAGCGATTCTGATAGATCAGCGGCCTAGGCCTCAGGAGTTTTAAAACTCTCAGGTAAGGCTGTGTAACCCCAGCACTTTGGGAGGCCAAGGTGGGAGGATTGCTTGAGCTAAGGAGTTCAAGACCAGCCTGGGCAACATAGCAAGATCCCTGTCTCTATAATTTTTTTTTTTTGAGACGGAGTCTCGCTCTGTCGCCCAGGCTGGAGTGCAGTGGCGCGATCTCAGCTCACTGCAAGCTCTGCCTCCCGAGAATGCCTCACACCATTCTCCTGCCGCAGCTTCCTGAGTAGCTGGGACTACAGGTGTCCGCCACCATGCCTGGCTAATTTTTTGTGTTTTTAATAGAGACAGGGTTTCACCGTGTTAGCCAGGATGGTCTGGATCTCCTGACCTCGTGATCCATCCACTTCGGCCTCCCAAAGTGCTGGGATTAACAGGCATAAGCCACCATGCCCGGCCTAAATTTTTTTTTTTAAGTGGGGGATGGAAGTCTCACTCTGTTGCCCAGGCTGGAGTGCAGCGGTGGGATCTTGGTTCACTGCAACCTCCACCTCCAGGGTTCAAGCGATTCTTGTGCCTCAGCCTCCCGAGTAGCTGGAATTACAGGTATGCACCAGCATGCCCGGCTCATTTCTTTTTTTATTTTTTAGTAGAGATGGGGTTTCACCGTGTTGGCCAGGCCAGTCTTGAACTCGGTGACCTTAAGTAATCTGCCTGCCTCAGCCTCCCAAAGTGCTGGGATTACAGGTGTGAGCCACTGCACCCAGCCAAAAAAAAATTTTTTAAAGATTTAAGGCCAAGCGCGGTGGCTCACGCCTGTAATTGCTGTACTTTGGGAGGCCAGGGCAGATAGATCACCTGAGATCAGGAGTTCAAGACCAGCCTGGCCAACATGATGAAATCCTGTATCTACTAAAAATACAAAAAGTTAGCCAGGCATGGTGGCGTGCGCCTCTAATCCCAGCTACTCGGGAGGCTGAGACAGGAGAACTGCTTGAACCCGGGAGGCGGAGGTTGCAGTGAGCCGAGATCACACCACTGCACTCCGGCCTGGGCAACAAGAGCAAAACTCTCTCAAAAAAAAAAACAACAAAACAACAACAACAACAACAACAACAAAAAAGGATTCAAAAGTTAAAAAAAAAAAAAACAAAACTCTTAGGTGATTCTAATGTGCAGTCAGGCTGAGAGACCCACAGAGACCCTACAGGCTGAGGACCCTACAGTGCGAGGTGGGCCTCACAGTTGGGCACGGATATCTGGACTCTGTTTAATGAACACCCTTCCTTAGGCCCACGGGTTACGCCCCGTCAGCAGTGTGGGAGAAGGTGGGCCTGCAGCCCTTACTTACGTCCTGGTGCTTCTTCCCAGACAGCCCTGTGCGGAGAGAGCGCAGGGACGAGTCTCAGGATGGGGAGAGGGCTGAGGAGGAAGCGCCAACCCGTCGGGGAGCAGGGCCTACCCCACTCCCAGTGCGGGCTCGCTTGTGAGGCCTGGGGAAGGGCACGGAGGAAGGGCCGTACTCGGAAGCTTTGGGTGCACGTAGTCCTGAGCCCAGGGGTCACAGAAGTAGGGCTGGAGGAAGTCGATGTTGGCTTGGCCCGTCACGGTCTGCTGGCCGAAGGCCCAGTTGTCCACCACCTTCACCACGAGGGGCAGTGCGTAGGCCGCCTCCGTGGGCATGAGCTGCAGCCCCGAGGAGATGTGGGGAGTGTGAGACCCACAGAAGAAGAGGGCTGCCCAGCCCCTGCCCTAGGGCCTCTTACCACTATGAGGACTAGGACAGACTCGGACTCGGGGAAGTTGGGGTTGGTCTGAAAGTCTCTGATGGGTTCTGTCCTCAGGGACTCTTCCCCGAATTCCACCAGGAGCTGGGGGGAGCTCGCCTTCTTCATGTTCCGAAGGCCCCAGGCCAGGATCTACCAGAACCAAGAAGGAGGGCAGGACAAGGGGCAGGCAGCGCCTCTGTCATGGGGTCCTGGCCAGAGAAGGGGGCTGAGGGGCAATAGCGGTGCAGCAGGAGCTGCAGGGCCAGGGAATGGGGCTGCAGAGGAGCCAGTGTCCGAAGGCGCACAAGGACAGGCTTCCCCGTCCTGTGAGGGATCAGTGCGTGTCCTGGGGCTGGGACGCTGTCCCCCGACCCATGACGGAGGTGCCCTCCGGCCACTGGCTGCATCCTCCACTGACCTCCATAGCCCGCAGGCATTGCCCCTCCTCACCGCTGCCTTGTCTGGCCTCATCAGTTCTCAGGTGTAAATTCCTGAGGCCGACTGCCTCTGAGGCCCGAAGAAGCAGGAAGTGCCTGAATTTCTCAGGGCCCCTATGCTGTCTAGCTCACTGAGGACCCCGTGGCCATTCGGTGACCTGGCACCCTGCCAGGACATAGCTGCACCCTGACTCATGAGGCCTCCTTGGGGCCCAAAGCGGGAACCAGCCAAGTTGCCTGATCTCGGGGAAGCCATCAGTCCCAGAGGCCTGACCATCTTGTGCTCTTTGCCACGTCTGCGGCAGGGCACACGCGTTCTGAAGGAGGACCCCCATGCTACTCTCAGAGGTGAGGCGAGCAGCATCCTGGCATTTGCAGTCAGACAGCATTTGCTGTCACGTAGTCCCTGCGTCACTGTGCATGGAATGTGTTGTCTCTTGGAGCCTCTATTTCCTTCTCTGCAAAGTAGTTCCTGCTGCGCAGGGGCAGCGTGAGTCCGAAATGTGATCACGCACGCTACAGCCCTGTGCCCACTCCCCACTGCAGAGGTTTGTGGTAAAATGATTTCCAGTGTTACACCAGAACCTCTTCATTTCTCTCCTGTCTCCCTCCACCTCCCAGGTAGTCTTTCTCGGGGTGCGAGCTTTGGATCCGGTAGTCAGAAAGCTGCAGCGCACTCCAGACCACCCCCGTCTGCCCTGCCCACCATCCCCATCCCACGTCGCCAGCACCTCAATGGCCATCCTCTTTATCGTGGGCTGGATGCTCTTGGGGAGTGTGTATGCCCCATTCTTCCAGGGAACGCTTAAGATAGGCAGCTGCTTCTCGCCAAGCTTCTGGGGGAGGGCAGGGAGCATGAGGTCCTCTGGGCTGGTCCTACTGCCCTCACCCCCACCTCAAGCAGGTCCCTCAGAGGCCCCACCGAGCCCAGAGTCCCATGGGTAGGGGCTGGCGGGGGGACTTAGGGGAGAGGCTGGGCAGGTCAGCGTCACCAAGCCCACAGCTCTGGATCCTGGGCCCCAGGCGTTTCCTGACAGGGTGGAGTTGGCCCCCGCTGGCTGGGGATGGGACGGGGACAGGCACTGAGCGCCACACTTCCCGGCCAGGCCCTCTCAATACCTCAGTCTGGAGGATCAGCTCACAGGATGCCAAGATCTCGCCCTCTTCCTTCCCCAGCTCCTTCATAAGGGGGTGCCACCTCATGGGGGGCAGGATCCGGTCCTGGAGATCCAGCCAGACCACTGGGGGCCACATGCTTCGTCCCCACAAGCTCTCCTTGCCCTGGAGGGGAGAAGTTCACAAAACACGGAGACCACGCTGGCAGGGCCCAGCTCTGCCCGGGCTTCTCAAGGCAAGGGCGACAGCTGGCAGACGAATTTCCACGGTGCTCTCTGCACGTCAGGCCGCATGGGAGAAATTTCCATACATTTTCCTCTAAAATAAATCCCCTCAGCCACTCTGCAAGGTAGGTCCTCTTCCTCCTGCTCTGCCCAGCCCACCTTACCCAGGAGTCACGCTGCCACAGCTCTAGCACCACAAGCGGCGGGCTCTCTTTGGTGTCCTGCGGGTTTTCGTACAGAAGGAGGTGCTGGAAGATGAGTGTCTGTGCCCACGTGGGGCCTGCAGAGCTCCTCAGGGTTTGGGTGCACTGGCTGTGGTTCAGGAAGACCACCCGAATGAAGGGCCCTGGAGGGGTGGAGGACGAGGGAGCAGTGTCGAGCTGGGAAGAGGGGCTTTCCTGTCTTCTGCTGCTGCAGCCGCTGGACCCAGTGGGGCCGGGGAGGGTCAGGCAGGGCAGCCACTGAGGCCTCCCAGGGCCCCGTCAGAGTCAGCTGCAGAGCACCGGGGTCTGTCACCAGAGGCCAGGCATCATCTGGTCCCATCCACGAGTTGTGTGTGCCTCCCAGGGTTGAGGCCTGGGCCTCACAGAGATGGAGGGCAGGGGCTCCTCTGGAGGAGTTCTAGGGAGGAGGTCACTTGTGGCTGCCCTTCTTTTTTTTTTTTTTTGTGGTCAGAGTTTCGCTCTTTCGCCCAGGCTGGAGTGAAGTGGTGCAATCTCAGCTCACTGCAACCTCTGCCTCCCGGGTTCAAGTGATTCTCCTGCCTCAGCCTCCCAAATAGCTGGGATTACAGGCGCGCGCCACCATGCCCGGCTAATTTTTGTATTTTTAGGAGAGACGGGGTTTCACCATGTTGGCCAGGCTGGTCTTGAACTCCTGACCTCGTGATCTGCCCACCTCGGCCTCCCAAAGCGTGGGGATTACAGGTGTGAGCCACCGCGCCCGGCTCTGTGGCTGCTCTTTCATGGCAGCGGCAAGTGGCCTGGCATCAGGGAGCACCACAGGGGCCTCTCGATGTGGGTGGTGAAGCCCAAGGGATACAACTCCCAGCAGACATCCTTGGAGCCCTGCCACCTACTGTCCCCGCTCCCTACAAACAGCACTGAGGACCAGGCTGGAGCACGTGGCTTGTCTCCTGAAACTCTCACTGGGACATCCTCACAGGACCAAGGACAGGCCCTCCCCACAGGCCCTCTCGGCCCCTACTGTCCAAACAGAGTGGCACATGGTTCCCAAGCATACTGCCCTCTCTCTTGCCCTCATGCCCCACCAGCACTGCCAGGCAGCTCCTCTTCCATGCCCAGCTAGGTGGCCACCACTGGGATGGAGCCCCCTCAGCTCCCGCTTCTAATTCCACAGCACCGGGGTCGCGCCTCAAGAGCGGGCCTGCCTCGAAGTCTTGGTTTTGTGTCTTTTCCCCAAACCAGCACCATGAGCTGATTGGGAGACAGGTCTGCATGTCCGTCACCCTCATCCATGCCTGTCTTTACACTGCTGAGCAGCTGTGACACCAGGTCCCAGGGACAAGGCTCGCAGCCGGTGAGGGGCCAGCGGGCAGGGGCCCTGGCTGGGACTGCAAGCAGGAACAGGACCCTGCTCTCCTCCCTGAGGCCTCGTCCTCAGCTGGGGACAAGGCTGCCTGCCACCTACCTTGGAATGTCAGGATCTGATTGGACACCAGGTTCCGGGCCTGGTAGATGTAGCAGAAGAGCTGGTAGTAGTGGGGCTCTGGGGAAAGAGGAGCCATGCCTGTCACCTCCCCAGGACTCCAGCGGCTCCCTCTGGCTGCCCCCACCGCTTCCCCACCCCCTGCCCTGGGCACTGGCCTCTGGGGCCATTCAAGCAGCCTCCTGAGCCAGCACTTACTGTTAAAGGTGCAGTAGATGAAGGGCATGTTGGGGGGCCGGGCGTCCTGCCTCTGGGGGTCCCTGAACTGTCTGTCCAGACCCCACGGCCATGGCTTGCTCTCCTCTTCCTTCCCAGCTCGGTGTTTCAGATCCATGGCCTGTAGCCAGGACAGTCCCCCCTGAGGCCCTCAGGTGCTGCTCCTGTGTCCTCTAGCCCAGGCCCGGTCGCTGCCACCCTCGCCAGCCTGAGGCGCAGAGGCCCTTCCTCCACCATGGGCGCCCCAGCCGGGCCAGGCCCTGGCCTCTCTGGGAGGGGGTTGCAGGCAGGCGCCCCCAGCCTGCGAGGCTTTACCAAGGAGCCCTCCAGGAGGAAGACGGGCGCGACGCCCTTGTCCTTGTCGGGCACCAGCCTGCGGCGCCAGCAGCGGCGGCGGAAGCGGCTCCGGGGCTGAGGGTGGAGGTGGAACTTGGAGCCGAAGGCGTCGTACTCCCAGCCGTCCTCCTCGCCCTCGGCCGGGCCCTGCGGTGGGGAGGAGCGCAGGGCTGTGTTCTCGCAGCCGCGAAGGGGGCTCTGCCCGCAGCCCCCGCCAGGGCCCCCGCGGACGCCTCACCAGATGCAGGAAGGAGACGGTCTCCTGCTCGCGGCTCAGCTCCCCGCGGTTCCGGAAGCGCACGCGCGCCCAGCGCCGCCGGCGGCACGAGTGGTAGGTCTTCTCCACCGGGCTCCAGACCTGGGGCAGGCCCGAGGGGGGGATGCCCACGCCATACTCCCAGCCTGCGGCGGGGGACCACGGCCCTGAGTCCGCAGGTGTCCGCGGGTTGGGAGGACCGGACAGGCCCCGGAGACAGGCCCTAGAGGGGCATGACTTCCCTCGCAGCCCGGCCTCTTGCCCTGAGCTGTGGAGAGCAGAGTGGCTACACTGTGTCACCTGAATGGCCTGGGACCAGCTGCCCAACTTACAAATGAGGCAGGCGAGGCTCAGAGAAGTCCTGTGACTCGCGCAAGGCCACACAGCCCATAGGCAGCAAAGCTTGCATCTTGAGCCCGGGCCTTGAGACTTGCAGCCCTGGAGCTGCTGTGGGTGAATTCAGCCGCCACGTGACAGCCTCCTGGTCACCAGCATCTGCCAGGCCTTGCTCTGGGCCAGGCTTCAGGACACACCGAGGGCCTGTGCTGTCTTAAAACTGGGGCCCATGCGTAGGGAAACGCTGGAGATCCCGCTCTGGAGGCTAGGGGGCCACAGGAATTGAGGCCTATCCCACTGAGGGCTTGGCTGCTCTGATCCCACCCTGCTGGCTGCCGTGCTTTTGAGGCCCTGGTCTCTCCCGATCCCAACCCTGACCAAAGGACTGACCCTTACTGTCCACTGCGTGGTTCAGCTCCACCACCCAGTCCTTCTTAAAGTGCCAGCCTTGGGGGCACTTCACGTTCTCCCGGGCCTCCGTGGGCTGTCCGTTCTGCAGGTGGACAGAGAGGGCGAGCAAGGGGCACATGAGCTGGGAGAAGGCCGCCCTCCCTCCCTCTTCCCACACCTGTGTGCGTGCCTGCCGTGGCCGCAGCGGCCTCTCGCTCCAGGCCAGACCATGCTTGCCCCAGCTCATGCCACCAGAGCCATCAGAATACGCTCCAAGGACCTGCCTCTCTGTGCTGGAAACTGCTCCTCCTCATTGTAAAGGGGAGACTAGCATGCTTTTGAGATCAGTTAAACCCACACTGCCCAATACAGTAGCCACCAGCCGCCTGGGGCTACTCTAGCTTAAATGAGTTAAAATTCAAAGTTTAGTTCCTTCGTCTCACTAGTGCCCCATTTTAAGTGCTCAGTGGCCACACGTGCAGATATGGAAGATTTCCATCATCACGGAGAGATCTACTGGACAGTGCCGGGTTAGCCCATCCCAAGCAGATTCTCTCCTTCGGGGTCAGCAGTACCTTTGAAGAAGCCTAGGAGGAACCACTGCTCCCCTTTTGTTGTTTCTCAGTCTTATTTAAGGTATTTCTACAAACCCCTCACCCCGTCAGTGCTGAGAGCCTGCGGGCTGGTGCGCTCACCCAGGGCCCCACGCATAGTGCAGGGCATAGGGCTCAGACCCTTTCCACTGCGACCCCCAGCTTCCAAGGCGCCCCGCCTGGTGGCCTTGCTTGCCCCCCAACCCCTGAGGCAGCTTCAGCCCTACTTACCACGTCTGTGTTTGGGATGGCGGCAGGCCCCCAGGCGCCTCTGATGTCGCGGCCCTGGTTCTCATATACCTCCTCCAGCACCTGGCTCTTGTTGATGTCTGTGTCCAGGAGGAGTCTGGGGGTAGTGAGACCCCAAGTTCCCAGCACACCTCCCCGAGCAGCCCCTGGGGCCGTCCTCTGCTGGCCAAGCGTTCCCATACCTGGCATCCCCATCTGCTCTGGGCAGGACAGGGCCAGCAAGCAGGACAGGGTGGTGGGCAGGGCGCTTGGCCTGGTGCACCTCGGCCCTCTGGCCCCAGGCTTAGGGGCTGGGTACCCATCTTTCTGGGCTGACGTGGACTGGCCCTCCCAGGTGAAAAGTCTCCCCTCCGGTGGGGCCTGCCCCCTCCTTACCTCCTCTGAGGTTCCACTGTCCAGCTGTCCTGCCAGTGCCATCCCAGGGGTGGCTGGAAATCCGTCATGGGGAGGGTCTTGTTCCCCATGACATCTGAGAAGTTGGGGCAGCGATACAGCCCCTGCTGCCCCCACTGGTCTTTATACTTGGCCTGATTCTCATACTAGGGGAGGGAAGCTTGTCAGGGCGGCCACCTCCTCCAGCACAAAGTGCAGGGACATGGGCCTCCCCGGACCCCCTGACTCTGGGCTGCAGGGGCATCCTTAAACTGTGGTAGCCAGGCAAGAAAGGGCCATGTCCCCATTGCACAGGTGAGGGCACTGAGGCTCAGAGGTCAAGCCTGCCCTGGGCCACTCAGCTGGCAGCGTGGAGTGGATGCTGCATGTTTGGACAGAGATATCATAAGACATCTATGTAGTGCTTGGAGGCACAGACGTGGAGACAGGTCTGGGTTGAAGGAGAGGGAGCAGGGCCTGTGTGCTCAGCGGGGAGAGTGTGGATGAAAAGGCCCAGAGGCAGCAACGGTGGTCAAATGGTGCAGGAGGGCTGGGCTCCCCAGGGTCTGCAGTGACAAGAGAGCAGGCAGCTGCCATCAAAGGCACCGGCCCAGTCCTCTGGTGCCTGCTGAGCATACAGGCCCTGCTCCCTACCCCTCACCCTGAACCCCTTTCTGCCTCTGCACCTCCAAGACCTACAGAGCTGGTTAGACATATTATAATGTATCCATCTACACATGCAACTTAGACACTGCAAACATGTTTTAATTCAGTAAGTTAAAAAGCCTGACACTCAAACCTTATTTCCCCTCTGCTGTTCACATGGCTTCCTGAGCCATGTCCTCCCTCAGGGAGCCCAGGATATCTCCCCTCCTCTGGTTCCAGAGCAGTCCCTGGCCGCTGCCCACCCACTCCCCGGGTTGATCGCTCTGTGGGCAGATGCCTCAGATCCTGCTCCTCTACCGTGCTAGGCCTTCACCTCCTGGGACCCTGCTGGGGCCTGCAGGGGTCCTGGGCTGCCCTGTTGGTGATGGGTGAGGCCCCTGCAAGTCACAGCCTTGCTCACTTCATGTGCTGTTGATGAACTAGGAGAAAGCTCGGAATAAACCTGCATCAGGGAGAGGGGGATCAGGCCCTGGAGGCCACTTAGTTGCCCCCTTTGTCTCCACACGTGTGTGGAGGATCAACAAGAGACCATAGCTGGCAGCGTCCAAGATTGCTTTAGTCTCTGCCTCCTCCATCAGACTCTCTCTTCGCCCTCAGTTTCAGTCAGGAATTTTTTCTCCCTCTTCAGTGCAGGGCTACTGCAGCTTCACCCTCCCTCATCACGCGACATGCCCTGCAGGGAGGCCATCTCTTCCCTGCCAGGCCACCCCACCCCCACCCCTGCATGCCTGCCCTGGCCTTGGGCTGCCGCTCGCCACTCACCGTCTCGGCGTACACTGCCATGTCACCCTGGCAGAGAAGCTGCAGGTCCTTGCTGTCTGTGACATTGCCAAGCCACATGCAGACCCGGAGGTGAGCTGGGAGCACATCCTTCTGTCCTTCACCCTCTGGGTACTGAGTCAGAGGCCGATCGGTCCCATAGGGGCACTAAACACCCTGAACGCCACCCCAGCCACCCCCCAAGTGGGCTGTACCTGCCCCTTCCCCCCGAGCCCTGGGAGCGGGGCCCTCACTGAGCTGAGTGCTGGAGCCGTAAGTGAATGGCATGGAGTTCTGTTCTACCCTCCAGAGCAGGGTGGCTCCACCGTGGCAGCCATGAAGCAGAGAGGCTGGGAGTGCCTCGCAGAGGGAGTAGCAGGGACGTTGATAATGGGACTGACGGACGTGCCTTGTGAGTTTGTTATGGGCCGGCACTGTGCCAGTTGCCCCGTGTGCATCGTAGGCCTGGATCCTCACAGCCCACCACGAAGAGGGTATGGTGATTGCCAGGCCCATTCTACAGAGCAGCACACTGAGGGCTGGGCATGGTCAGGAGTTGGCCTAGGGCCACACAGAGCCAGGATTCATGTCTCAGGGGCCCTTGCAGGATGCAAAGGACTCTGGTGGGCATGGAAGGAGCTTTGCACATTGGTGGAGAGGGCAAAGGGCAGGTACAGTTGGGGCCAGGGAAAGCCCAGAGTGTCCTCACTGTTGAGAGTATGGGCTAGAGAGAATGGATACAGGCACAGGGGCCAGGGGCCAGGCCACAAGGCGGCACCTTCTCCAGGAGGCAGTGGGGAGCCAGGGAGTCTCTGATGGGGGGAGGGAGTGGCCCCCACGTCCCCCCGGGAGGATCAGAAGCAGGGAGGCTACTGTCACGGCCAGGAGTGAGGGTGGCGGTCCGGGTGTTTAGTCTTATTTATAGCTTGCATCTGATATGATGGGCTGGTGCCAAATCTTACAGACATTCAATATTTTGGAGATCACCCTGTCATGGTCCAGGGAAGAGATGACAAGGGGCTGGACCAAGTGGCGGCCATGAGGATGATGAAGGAGGTGGATTTGTTTTCTGGTTTTGTTTCGTTGTTTTTTTTTTTTTTTGAGATGGAGTCTCGCTCTGTCACCCAGGCTGGAGCAGCGTCATGATCTCGGCTCACTGCAACCTCCGTCTCCCAGGTTCAAGCGATTCTCCTGCCTCAGCCTCCCGTGTAACTGGGATTACAGGCAAGCGCCACCATGCCCGGCTAATTTTTGGTATTTTTAGTGGAGACGGGATTTCACCATGTTGGTCAGGCTGGGTCTTGAACTCCTGACCTCAGATGATCCACCCGCCTCAGCCTCCCAAAGTGCTGGGATTACCTGTGAGCCACTGCGCTCACGAGGAGGTGGATTTGGGGAACATTTATGAGGTACATGGACTTGCCATCACCCAACATGCTGGCAGCCACAGACCCCTCTCTTCCTCTGGGGACAGCTTCAACCCCATTCCAGCTGGTTAAGGGACCAGGGAAAGAAGCCCCATAGGGGCTGCCCTGCAAGTTCAGGGGCTCCCCCGGGGGCATTTCTCGGCCCTGTCCTCCCCTGAGGACCCCTTGATTCCCACCTGGAGGAGGAGTGTCTGTATCTTCCCACAGAGCCTGCCGGAGTGCAGGGCCCCTGCCCGGGAGAAGAGGACGGAGTGGGCAGGCACCTGTGCGTAGGCCACTCGCTGCTCCTTGGCCACCAGCCAAATCATCACGTCAGGAAGGCCCATCTGGGGCTGCCAAGGTGGGAGAACGTCAGGCCCTGCGCGGCTGGCTCCCAGCCCTGCTCCAGGCCAGTGTGTGCAGCACCCACCTCAGGGAGCACAGCGTTGAGGCGGTACAGCCAGTCCTCCGCTGTGGCCACCATGTCCCTGGGCATGGCTTGCTTGGCCTTTTGGGCCAGTTCTTGCAGGAGGAGGCTGCGGAGCTGCCACCTCTTCCTGTCCAGGTTGGTGGCTTTGGGCTGGTCGGTCATGCAGGGCAGAGGGCGCCTGTGGCCAGGACAGGGTAGCAGGGGCTGGACCTCTCTACTGCCTCCCAGTGTCACCAGAGCCCTGCCTTAGGCCAGCGTGCCCCTCCTGACCTCAACATCCTGCCCCCATCTGCTGCTGGCCTGGCCCGGGAGCCCTTCCCACCGCTTCGTAGGAAGCCTGCTCGCTGTGCGTCCAGCCCTGGGTTCTCATCCAGCCCTCTACTATGGCCTGCAGGGAGGTGGGGCTGTGCGGGCTTGTCTGCAGGAAGGGGACAGGTTGACTCGGTAGGAGCCTCGGGCGTGGGTGTGGGGCAGCAGGGACCATTCTGATAGGGCGGTCAGGGGGCCTGAATGGGAAGGGAGAAGTGACTCTTGGGGTTTCCTGCTGGGGAGAGGTCTGAGCAGTGCTCCTCCCCAAGGAGGGTGGGGGCAGGTGTTCAGGGCACTGCTCTGAGCCCCCAGGCCTGGATCTGGCTCAGCTCCAGGCCAGCTGTACCCCAGAGTGCCCCTACTCCTACTTGCAGTCCTCCACCAGCTCCCTCAGCAGTTTCTCCCACTGGCAGAGGAGAGCTGGGTCCTTCGGATTCCGCGTGGATTTCAGGGTGTCCAGGTTGGCTTTCTGCCCAGCAGGAGAGAAACGGTAAGAGAGCCCGCCTCAGCATGGAGCCCAGCTGGACAGGCCACAGGGCTGATTGGTCCAAGATGTTTCCAGCCACGACCTTGGGAACTTTGAGGGATAACTTGGTGATATCAGTTCAAGGTCGTCCACAACTCCGCGGCTAGGACCCCCCCACATCCTTCCTGCTACCCAACAGAAGAAACAGGTGGCAAGAAGCTGGGACGGGGTAAGACTGGGAAGCAGTGCAGAGCACTGACCTCCACACAGGCGTGAGAAAGTCATGCCGGAGGTCCCAGCCCCAGGTGGCTCCCGAGAACTACACTCCCGACAGCCACCTGAGACTCTTTGTGATCTCACTCCTTCCAGCTTCCATGGTCGGATCTTCATGTCACCTCCATGCCTCCCCCCAACCCTGCCGAACTTCAAAAACCAGCACATTGCTGTGGCTTTGCATGTTATTCCCTTCTACCCCCACCCAGCCCCCAACAAACTCCTATGCATTCTTCAAAACCCTGCTGATGTGTCATCTCTTTTTTTTTTTTGAGACGGAGTCTC